AGAGCAGGCCTTCCTTCCCCCTGCTGCCGGCACTGGCTTCCCTCCGGCACCTGGGACCTGGACTTCCCTTGCAGGCCCGTCTTCATCCAGAAGGTCGTCCAGAAGGTCGTCCAGTCTAATTAGCATATTACGCTTTTATTATTATAGATTCATTAGTTTATGACACATGGATTGTTTCCACTTTTTGGCTATTATGAATAATTTTGCCACAGACATTCATACACAAGATTTTTTGTGAACATACGTTATCATTTCTTTTGGCTGTAGATTTAGGAGTGGAGTTGCTCAATCATGTGGCAACTCTATGATTAACATTTGAGAAACTGTCAAACTGTTTTCCAAAGTGACTTTATCATATTTCATCATCAACAGTGTATGAGGGTTCAGTTTCTCCACATCATTGCCAACATTTATTATCTGTCTTTTTGATTATAGCCATTCTTGTGGGTGTGAAGTGATATCTCATTGTGTTTTTTATTTATAATTTCCTAATGACTAAAGATATTGAGTATCTTATCCTGTGCTTGTTGGCCATTTATACATCTTTTTAAAATTTTTATCTTTATTTTGAAAGTATTACTTATGTCCCCTTTTTTTCTCCTTTGATCCCCTCCACTCAGCACCCGCCCCCTCCCCCAGGCCTTCAGTGTACTATTGTCTGTGTCCAAGGGTTATGCATATATGCCTATAAGTTCTTTGGTGAATCTCTTCCTGCCCCCACCTCCCCAATTCCCTCTGAGATTCATCAGTCTGTTCCATGCTTCCATGTTTCTGTATCTATTTTGCTCGTCAATTTATTTTGTTCATTAGATTACTCATATAAGTGAGATCATGGAATACTTGTCTTTCTCTGACTGGCTTATTTTGCTTAGCATCATACTCTCCAGGTCCCTCCATGCTGTCTCAAAGGGTAAGAGATCCTTCTTTTTTACAATTGTATAGTATTTTATTGTGTAAATGTACCATCTCCTGATGGGCACTTGGGCTGTTTTCAGATTTTAGCTATTGTAAATAGTGCTGCTATGAACATAGGGGTGCATGTATTCTTTCTGATTGGTTTTGAGATTCTTAGTATATATTTCTAGAAGTGGGATCATTTATACATTTTTATAGAAGTGTCTATTCAGATATTTTATGCAATTTTGAGTTGGGTTATTTATCTTTTTATTTTCAATTTGCATGAGCTCTTCACATATTCTGGATGTAAGTATAAGATCCTTATCAGATATATGATTTACAAGTATTTTCTACCTTTTCATGGGATATTTTTTCAGTTTACAGTATCCTTTGGAGCATGAAAGATTATAGTTTCAATATAGTTCAGGTTTGTATTGTTATTTATTTTTATAATGTTATTTGAACTTTTGGTGCTGTATTTGAAAAATGATTGCCCAACCTGAGGTCATGAAGATTTACTTCCATGTTTTCTTCTAAGAGTTTCATAGTTCTAGCTCTCATATTTAGGTATATGATCCACTTTGAGTTAATTTTTTAATATATTTAGATGAGGTAGAGGTTTAACATCATTCTTTGACATATGGATACCCAGTTATCCCATCACCATTTGTGGAAAAGACTATTATTTCCTCCATTGAATAGGTCTATTGACCATAGACATGGGGATTTATATGTGGATTCTCAATTCTGTTCCATTGATCTGTGTGTCTACACTTATGCCAGTACCACATGTCTTGATTAGTGTAGTTTTATAGTAAGTTTTAGAATCAGGGAGTGTAAGTCCTTTGATTTTGTTCTTCCTTTTCAAGATTGTTTTGGCTCTTTAGGGTCCCTTATAATTCTATATGAATTTGAATATTGGCTCTACCATTTCTGCAAAAATGCTAGCTGGTATTTTGATAGGAATCGTGTTGAATCTGTAGATCAGTTTGGGGAGTAGCGCCATTTTAACAATGTTAAGTCTTCTAATGTGTGACATGAGATGTCTTTTTATATATTTAGAAGGCCTCTTTAATTCTTTCATGTTTTATAGTTTTTCAGTTATAGTTTTAATTTATTTTCCTAAATTTATACCTAGGTATTTTAATATTTTTAATGCTATTATAGTAGTCATTGTTTTCTTAAGTTTATTTTCAGGTTATGCACTGGTAGTGTATAGAAATACAATTGATTTCCATATATTGGTCTTGAATCTTGTAACTTTGTTGAACTTATTAGTTCCAATAGTTTTTTTAGTGGATTCTTTAGGATTTTCTATATACAGGATTATTTAATCTGCAAATTAAAATAGTTACTACTTCCTTTCCAATCTGGGAGCCTTCCCTCTTTTTTTTTGTCTAGTTGTTCTGGCTAGACCTTCTATCACAATGTTGAATAGAAGTGGTGAGAGCAAATATCCCTGTCTTGGACTTTCCTCAGGAGGAAAACATTTGGTCTTTTAACATTAAGTATGTTATTAGCTGTGGGATTTTCATAGATGGTCTTTAGCTGGTTGAGGAAGTTCTCTACTATTCTTAGTTTGATGAGGCAATTCCTAGTTGGATTTTGTCAAATATTTTTTGTATGGTTCTTGTTTTTTTTTATTCTGTTAATATTGTGTGTTTTACATATCCTAGGATAAATCCTACTTAGTTCTGGTGCATGATCCTTTAAGCTGTATATGTTACTAGATACAGTTTACTAGTATTTTGTTGAGGATTTTTGTATTTATATTAATAGGAGATATTCTCCTATAATTTTCTTGTGATTTTTTTTCTTAGTTTTATATCAGTGTAATACTATCCTCATAGAATGAATTAGAAATTACTTCCTCTTCTTCTACTGTTTGGAAAAGTTTGTGAAAAGTTGATTTTAATTTTTTTGAATGTTTGAATTTACCAGTGAAGTCATTTACGTCTGGCCTTTTCTTTGTAGAAATATTTTTAGTTACTAAATTGATATCTTTACTTGTTATAGAGTTACTCAAACATTTTATGTCTACTTGAGTCAGTTTCGGCAATTTGTGTCTTTCTAGTAATTTGTCCCTTTCACTTATATTGTCTACTTTATTGGCATATAGTTGCTTATAATATTCCATTTTAGTCCTTTTTTATGTCTTGAAGTTGGTAGCGATATCCCTTTTTCATTCTCAAGTTTAGCAATATGTCTTTTCTCCATTCTTCTGTCCCTCCCCCTTTAGTTTCTTGATTAGTGCAGTTAATGCTTAATTTTTTTGATCTTTCCAAAGAACCAGCGTTTCCACTGATTTCCTCTATTGTTTTGCTATTCCCTATTTCCTTTATCCCAGCTATAAGTGTCCCTCTGAGCAGTGCTTTTGCCAAGTCACATATGTTTTGATATGTTGCATTTTCATTTTCATTCCTCTCAAGATATTTTCTCCTTTATTTCTTTCTTCTTTGACACATTGGTTGCTTAGGAATGTATTGTTTAATATCCATGTATTTATGAATTTCCCAAATTTTCTTCTGTTATTGAATTCTAATTTAATTCCATTGTAGTTTGAAACATACTTTTATGGTTTTAATCCTTTTAAATTTATTAAGACTTGGTCTATGTCCTAGCACATGATGTATGCTAGGAGAATGGTCCATATGCACTTGAGAAGAATGCCTATTCTATTGCTGTTGGGCCAAGTGTTCTATAGATGTCTGTTAGGTCTACTTGGTTTAGAGTGTTGTTCAAGTATTCTATTTTCTGGAGGATCTTCTGTCTAGTTTTTCTAGTTATTATTGAAAATATGGTATTGACATACCAACTTTCGTTGTTGAATTGTCTATTCCCTCAATTTTGTCAGTTTTTGTTTCATGTAGTGTGAGGTGCTGTTGTTGATGTATATTTGGTTATAATTTTTATATCTTCTGGATGGATTGATCTTTCATCATGAAATTCCTCTTTATTTCTTGTAACATTTCTGTTTTAAAATATGCTTTTTAAGCTACAGGCACAGCAACTCCAGTTCTTTTTTTATTTTTATTTGTTGGTGTATCTTTTTGTTGTTGTTATTGTTAATCCTCACCCAAGGATATTTTTCCATTGATTTTTAGAGAGTAAAAGGGAGGGGGAGAGACACATAGAGAGAAACATACACATCAATTGATTGCCTCCTGAATGGGGTCAGGGATCAAGCATGCAACTGAGGCTCAATAAAATCTGGGACCCTACAGTCCATAGGCTGATGCTCTATCCATTGAGCCAAATCAGTTAGAGCTGAGGGTATATATTTTTTAATTCATTTGTGTTTAGTGCACAGTTTTTTTTTTAATGATGTCAATATTTTTATTTTAAAAACTAGTGGCCCAGTGCACAAAATTCATGCATTGGTGGGGGGGTGTCCCTCAGCCTGGCCTGCACCCTCTCCAATCTGGGACCCCTCGGGGGATCGGGCCTAAACCGGCAGTTGGACATCCCTCTCACAATCCAGGACCACTGGCTCCTAACCGCTCACCTGCCTGCCTGCCTGATCACCCCTAACCACTCTGTCTGCTGGCCTACTCGCCCCCAACTGCCCCCCCAGTGGCCTTCTCCCCCCCAACTGCCCCCCTCTGCCAGCCTGCTTGCCCCCAACTGTGCCCCCTGCCAGCCTGCTTGCCCCCAATTGCCCTCCCCTCCTGGCCTGATCACCCCTAACCACCTCTGCCTTGGCCCCACCACCATGGCTTTGTCTGGAAAGGCTCCCGGAAGGTCTCCCGGTCTAATTAGCATATTACCCTTTTATTAGTATAGATGATCATACAATGCAATTCCCTTTTTTGATGTTCAGCTTTATGATTTTTCACATGTGTAGATGCCCTTAGTAGGACAGAAACTAATTATATCACCCCCAAAGCTCCCTTGTGTTGTTTCTTTACAGTTCACATGTCCTGCAAGCCAGTCCCTAGCATACAATGATATTCTTCCTAGTGGAAAATTTTTATTACACCATCATAGGTTAGGAATGCTTATTGCCATTGTTATCATTATCACTATTATTTGACATTTCTTTTGTTGATTAACCATTGCTGATAGTCTTTCTTCTTTTCCAACCTTTCTGAACTTTGGATTAATGATATAACTACATTAGCATGAAGCGTTTAGGGTTGGTGGGAATTACTTTCTGGGCTGAAATATTGATTAGAGTCATGTAAATGTAGTAGATTCTTAGAAGAGTTGTCACAAATTCAAGATGAAGCTTAAGCTTGAGTCTTACTTAAGGGTTAGCATTTTCCACAAAAATTGGGGAACTACTACAGCATTGTTATATTACCAGCTCTGAAAGGTAGCCTAGAAATTCAAGGTTTTTGGTGGCAGCTGAGTTCCAGTTTTGCAATTGTGAATGGTTCCTGAGTATGCCTGGAATCCTACTCCGTCCTCCCCCTCTCTGATTGGCTTTGGAAAGCAAATAGAGTATAACAATAGGAGTTCTGGAATGTTCCTGTGTGTTTGTACTATTGTTAACTCTTATCCTCTCTTTTCAGAGACAAGAGATTAAGTTAAAACTAGATGGGAATCTTCAAAGGATGTAACAGGATTTCCCCCTTCTCCCCCCACCCCAACACTGACCTTCATACCTTCCCAGGCAGGAAGTTTTCCGTGTGTGTGTGTGTGTGTGTGTGTGTGTGTGTGTGTGTGTGACAACATGATGGGGCAGGTCCAGCAATGGGGAAAACCCCATGGGAGAACACGCCTTTTGTGTACATTCCCAATATTTGCTATAAGTAGTGCCATCTCAGTCCCAGGTTGCAATCAGAACACCACAACACCCCAGAGAACTGGGTACCCAGCACTGAGCACTTCTATTCTTTGAGCTGAAAATGATGGGCTATAGCAAGAGTTTGCTCCTGGCTGCTTTGATGTCAGTGCTGCTATTCCACTTCTGCAGTGAGACAGAAGGTAGGTGTCACTCTTTCTGCTCGCAGGGCAGGAAGAACTATTTTCATTTTCTTCTAAGCCTTGAACTCATCTGGGGTGTCCCCAGAGGATAGAAGCCTGTTAGAAAGTTTTCAAAAGGGAGTCATGGGAGTTGTCAGCTCATTGGTGAGTGAAGGAGGGAAAGTTTCCTGCTGCTGGCCAGGCTTTCTTCTTTGCTGTCAATCACAGCAGGTTGGGGGGTGGGTGGGCTCACAGAGACCCCTAAGCTCCAGAATACTGCCAAACTGCTATTTCTGGGATGGTGTAAATTGAGGAGCATTACCAGTGAATGGGGTCATTCTGAAATGTAAGGAATGCTCCCACTTTCCCAACTTTCTCATCTCCCAACTAAATAGTTTCAGCAAAATTCAAAACTCATTATTTAGGGGTGGATTATGGCACCCGAGTTCTTCATGCTTGCAAGGCCTCTGGAACATCACTTGCCAACTCTGTGATAACATTTATTCCCTATCTTATAGCAGGTATTAATTCAATAGGAGGAGTGTCCAAGTATTGCTTTATTGTTGTAAGAGAGCATCACTTTTTAGCAACAGGTGCATTCCTAAAAATGAACAAAATGAAAAATTTCTATGAACTCTTATAATTTCAAAATGCTTTATTTATAGCTCATATAAAAGCAGCTTTCATGAATCACACTTTCCTTTGTAAAGTCTTATCCTTTCATTCCTCTCAGTACTCAGCACCAAGATGATAGATGAAAATCTGCCAATTTAAAAGATTATCTATGAATTTCTTCATGTGAGAGTTACTCATATTCTTGAGTAATTATAGTGGATTGAAATAAGAGGGCCAGTTTGTGTTTCTTACTAAAGATTTTCCCTTTATGAGAAGTCATGTGCTTCTAAACTATATTATTGAACCAAAATTTCCCAGCACACAAACTATTTTTTTTGAGAACTGAGAACTATGTTTAATTCAGTCTCAAAGACACTGAAACTCCTCCTTTAAATAGTTTACCACATAGATCAGATTCTAGGCTTCCCCACAACTACAAGTAGTTTCATAATACCTGTCACAGAATAGTTCATTCATATGGACTCAACACTGTTCATTTCTTTTTAGCAGCAAGCTCCTTCGATTGCTGCCTTCGATATAGAGAACAAGCCATTCCTAGCAGATTTATCAAGGGCTTCACACAGCAGTGGGCCAATGATGCTTGTGACATCGATGCAGTCATGTAAGTTATTAACTGCTTTTAACTCAATTGTATCCAAGTACATGGGAATTTCAGGCATAAAAATTTTTGCCTTTTTTGTTTCACTCAGAAATATGAGATGTGGCAAAGATATGTTTTAATAGTGCATGTCTATTTCAAAGCTCACTTTTTATAGATATTTAATTTTATTAAATTTGTTGAGTTGGCATTGGTTAAAAAAATTATATAGGCTTCATGTGTACAATTCTACAGAATATCGTCTGTATAGTGCATTGTGTGATCACCACCCCAAGTCAAGTCTTCTTCCATGGTGACGGAAGGAGACTTGACTCAAAGCTCACTTTAAATAAGACTGGACTAAGGCAAAGGTTTTTGCTTTAAAAAAAAAGCAGCACAGTAGGGGGCAGAATAATTTTCGAGATAAAATAATAGGCTACTAACGTGATAGCTCCAGAAAATATATAAAACATAGACTAGACTTTAAAATGATAGTCTTCTACCAGAAAATGGTTGAGGCTATAAGTAAAAACTCAGAGTAATTGTACTGTCACATATAATAGTCTTGATTTATACTTTGGGATAATTTGTTATTGAAAAAAAAAATATATATATATACACACATATATATATACATATACACACACACACACACACACACACACACACACATATATATATTCTGGGACTTTATTTTCTGCCATTGAACAGAAAATTTCATTAAAAATGCATTTGTTAAACTGCCGAGCCAGCGTGGCTTTCGGGTTCAAAGGCTTGGAGAAAGAGCTGACGAGCAAATTGACATACAAGATAAGAAATAATAGTTTTGAAATTATGGGGGGAAGCCAGGGAAAAACTCAACTATAGTAGTCAAGTTCCGCTGAGTCTGTTTCCCAGCTGCTTTTATTTACTAGAGTACACAATTGCCTTTTAGGAATGCAAACAGACATATCAATGGTAATGTTTAGTAAACAGTAAGATTACCAGGTTTGGGGGGAGTTTGCTTTGGGCCATTGAGTCAGCAGTAGGTAATAAAATGTAAATATTCACCCTGTGAATATCAAAGGAATCCAGGCCAGCCTTCTGATGGACTCCTCACATTTATATCAATTACTGTTGACCTTCGTTTCCAGAAGCATCCCTTTTATTTGTTGCATCAAGCTTTATCGAGATAATATGGATTTTTTTTTTTGCATTTTGTTTCACCTGTGATATAAATGAAATGCTTAGTGCATAGAACTATCAATTTGAATACGAAATTTCCATTGCATGTTTGGTGAAAAAGCCATTTGAAGCTCTTTAAACACAAATCAAATTTTCTGATTTTTCAGCTTTTACACAAAGAAAGGGTTGGCTGTGTGTGCAGATCCAAAGAAGAAATGGGTGAAACATGTTGTGCACGTCCTCAGGTATGAAGCATTCCCAATCTAGTAGCCTCTCTCCGAACATCTGGGGCAAGAGCAGTGTGCAGAGCAGTGGATCCTAGGCTTGCTGGTGTTTTCTAGCTTATGCACTGTGGAATTTTTAAAAGGGAAATTTGAATTGGACAATCAAAACAAAAATTCACTTTTTTCCCACTTAGAAATCATTTTTATTTTTTTTAAACTTAGTGATTTTCTCACACGACATACTAAATTCCTCTATGCATTTGATAGTCACAAGCTATTTGATTCTTGTTGCAAAAATATCTCCTGTTTATATAATTTACATTCGTTTGTTAAAAACTGAAATATAAACAATGAAAAAGAGAACAATGGTGTTGATTTACATTGATGATAATAGAGCCACCTTTTATCAATGGACAGAAATCACCTAACTTCACAGTGCTATAGACATGGAATTTGAAGACATACTATAAGTGTTCACATCTTGTTTCTGTCATCACTAACTGAGTTAAGATGGTCCAGGCCCTTCCTCTCTGAACCTCAATGTCCTCATCTGCACTCAGAGCTGGTTGGCATCCTGAGATGAGATTAGGGAACGAGAGGCAACTGTTAGGTACCACAGCCTTTCCTACCAGCCAGTCACCCTGTTTTTGCTTAATTGTTTCTTCTCTTTTTCTTTACAGCCAAAGAGTCAAGAAGATGTAAAAACAGATGCTCTTTGGAATGAAATTGGATACAGCCCAAAAACAAAAAGAACCTCGCTGGAGTTGGTGGTTTCACTTGCACATTGTTGAGGGTTTAGCAGTTATCTGATTTGTGTCATTGGACTTATCCAGTTAATGAAGTTGATACATATTGCATCATACTTTACTTTGTTAAACATTGCATTACAGCCAAACTATTTCATGTTAAGTTATTTATATATGTGGGCCTTTTGTTGTGTATGTTTTACTATTTAATAATAATTTCTCATAAACTACTTAGTTTAGTATGAGGTATAAAATTATGCATGGAGGAATAAGATTATATAAACGTTTTTTGCAAGCAGCAGCTCTTTTTAAAAAACTATTTAACATTCTTCTGTTTGTAGTTTTGTTTCCTAAATTGTTGTAATTACCTGTAAAAGAGAAAAATGATGAGAATAAATACTAAAACTAAAATAACCAAAAATTGTTTGTTGCTTGAGTTATATGGTATTTAAGACAGATAAAAAATTAAAGATCTAGTAGGAAATATAAACATTTTCTGAAAATTTGTATTTCCTATTTACTTCTGCCTACTTATTACTTTTATCTCTATCCGTGATGGTCTAGGACTTCATTCTCTGTGAATTCTAATGGAAAGTGGGTTTTTTGATTCAGAGTCATCCAAACCAGAAATTAGAAAGATCCTATAGCTGAGTTTCATAGCTCAGTGTTTATTGATATAAAACTTTTAAAATAAAAATTGCACCTATTTGTCTGCATGATCAAAGTCCATTGATGTAAAAATCTTGGAATATGTGGATATTTTAGAAGGTTTTTAAAATGTAACATTCCTAGATGTTTGCCCCTTCCTACATTTAGACCATTAAAAAGGACAGCATTCTGCAAAAGAGAAAAAATATATATAAATGCACCCAGATACTTTGTGACTACAGAGACAGAACAACCATTTTGAAATTGCCTTGAGAAAAATCTCTTAGTCCATCATTTTGTCACCAGCTAGGGATCTAGAAATGGGCATCTCAGCACAGGAATATTCTTCTACTTCAAAAGTTCTACTGAGGCATCTTTCAGTTGTTTCCAAAAAGAACATGACCGTGCAAAATGTTCTTAGAACCTGATAGAGCCTCACTAACCAGAGGACAGACTTCAGATGTGTGAAAGCTAGCGAGAACCCAGAAACAAGACAAAAGGACCCTGAACCAGTGTAGTTACCAAAGTTTATGCTGTGCCCCCACACTGCACTTGGGCAATCTGCTTCAGATGCCAAAGGCCCCTGGGAAGATCACTGGAGGCAGGAACCCGGATGATATGATGCAAAACCCAGACACACAAATCCATAAAGCAGAGCAGTGGTGGGTTATTTAGTGGAGAGCCCAAACCTGTTAAGTGGCTCAATAATCTCTGAAGACATCTCCCAGGAATAGTAACACTGAATCATCAGGGAAAGTATGCTCAATATCCTGTTTGTTTATTCATAGAACATGGCTTTAGTATCTGCTATATGCCAGGCCCTGAGCCAAAGGAAACTGAGATACCAAGAGGCAAATTCAAGACTTGATCTTTGCTCCCAGGTAATTAGGGTTGAGAAGTGTGGTTAGAAGGAGGGGATGACAGGTGAACCAGCTATTATGACACATGGTGATTAGCACTTGAATAATGAAAGTCACAGAGTGCTGAAGGGCATTCGACGTGAGGGCTTCCAGAAGGAAAGAATAATCAGTTGAACCATATTAAATGGCCAATGTATGATGTTCTTGAACTATGATGATGGCATTTGTGTATGGTTCAGTTCATACTTGAGCTGAGGTATGAGGGACCAGTAGCAGCCACCCAGTTGTAAAGGGACAACAGAGGGTGTTTGGAAATATCTGGGGGCATTTTTTATTTGTCACAATGTCTGGAGGGGTACTAGAGGTATTCAGTGGGCAAGAGACAGGAATGTTAAACCTATTGAAATGCACAGGACAGTCTTGCAAAATGAAGAACTGCCTCACCCAATATACTAACCATGCCACCAACTGAGCAATCTTGGGTGGAGCAGAGGTAGGAGCGGAGTAGTTGCAGATTAAATGAAACTGTTACCTCAACTAAGTGTAGTGGTTTGAACTTGAATGTGGAAACTTGGGAGCCATTGAAAAAGTCAAAGGAGGACGAAGGGGCAGTAGGAAGGAAGATGGAAGCAGAGGTACCAGGGAGAGTTTCAATGAGCAAGGTGAGAAATGGTGAGACTTCAGAAAAGCCATGGGAAAAAAAGGGCACAGAAAAGAAAGTTTTGTGATTTCTGAGAATCATCTCAGACCACCCTCCCTTGCACCCCCACCAGCCATCCTCTCTTTGAACCACATGGCCAGTGAGGTCCATTGCTGATTGCTGGGAGGCCTCACCAGGTGAGCCCAGCAAAGCCAGAAAAGGAGCATATTTTTTTTAGTGCTGTGATGGTGTCTGAATCTTTTGGGACCAGAAATACTAATAACTATTACCTGAGGTTCTGGAGCCTGAAATTTCTAGGCCAGAATGCTAATATATTAATCACAATACTAACATTACAGTGTCAAGTGTGAGGGTATTTGAACTACTTGGCTTAGAATGTTGTTCAAATATTCCATTTTCTTGTGGATCTTCTGTCTAGCTTTTTTTTGTTTGTTTTTTTTTTTACTTATTATTGAATATATGGTATTGATGTATCCAACTCTTATTCTTTCTTTCAGTTTTGTCAGTTTTGGTTTCATGTATTTTGAGGTGTATCTTCCAGATGGATTGATCCTTTATTATTATGGAACTTCCTCTTAATTTCTAGTAACATTTTTGTTACTATGGGAGATTTTTAAGAATACAATAACAATTTCATTATCATAGATTAAAAGATGAACACTAAATTCTTAATATCACCAAATATCCAGTCAATGTTCAAATTTCTATGTGTTTTTTTTAAAGATTGTTTTTTATTTTTATTTTTTGGTAGTTGATTTGTTTGAATGAAGACCCAAAAAAGTTCATGCACTGCATTTGTTTGTTGCTTTTTACTTTTAATCTATGTTTCTTATCACCACCCTCATCCCCTCTATTTTTCCTTTGCAATTTAGAACTTCCTCTTAATTTCTAGTAACATTTTTGTTACTATGGGAGATTTTTAAGAATACAATAACAATTTCATTATCATAGATTAAAAGATGAACACTAAATTCTTAATATCACCAAATATCCAGTCAATGTTCAAATTTCTATGTGTTTTTTTTTAAGGTTGTTTTTTATTTTTTGGTAGTTGATTTGTTTGAATGAAGATCCAAAAAAGTTCATACACTGCATTTGTTTGTTTCTTTTTACTTTTAACCTATGTTTCTTATCATCACCCTCATCCCCTCTATTTTTCCTTTGCAATTTATTTTTTGGAGAAACCAGGACAATTGTTCTAAAGTTTCCCAACTTTTGGGTTTTGTTGATTGCATTTCTATGGTGTCATTTAGCATGTCCTCTGACTCTTAGAAATAAAGGCTGGCTTAAAACTTCACTGGGGGTGGGGGACAAAACCACTTTATAAGTGCATTCTGGTGTGAAGCTGTCTAAACTGATGCCAGAAACAGAAGTAAAAGGGGAAGCTCTAAGACTATGAGAAAGTCTTCAAGGAATGTGAAGAATTGATCAAGTCCAATTCACAGCCGGAGGGAGGAAAGGTAGATGGTCATACATGTCCTTCAAAGGAGGCGATGGGAAAGGTGTGTAGGAATGGAGAAATCCCGTCAAGAAGCACAAGAATGCCGGTCTCCACCTGCTCCTGGCCCTGTGGTTGACTTGAGAAGGACATCATGGAGATGAGTTGGAGGCACACAACAGTATTGGGATGGAATAATGAGAAGTAGGAGAAGGGAAGATGAATGCAAGGGTTTGAATTTTGATGTTAATCATGTCATATATAATATCAAGACTATTAGGCACTAAGTGCTAGTATCACTTGCTAATATTGCTAATATCTCGTTTAAACATGAGGTAGGTACTATTTTTATGTCATAGTGTGAATAGAGAAACTGAAGGTAAGGGAATTAAATCTCCACCTGCTCCTGGCCCTGTGGTTGACTTGAGAAGATCATAGGATAGGTGATGTTCTTGCCATAGACTCAGGTTTGAACTGAGGCAAGGAGTCAGGGGAGTGAAAGATGGAAGGACATGGAAGAGTTGTCCAAGAGCAGGACATCATGGAGATGAGTTGGAGGCACAAAACAGTATTGGGATGGAATAATGAGAAGGAGGAGAAGAGAAGATGAATGCAAGGGTTTGGATTTTGATGTTAATCATCCTATATAATAAAAGGGTAATATGCAAATTGACCCTAACTAACAGCGGGATGACTGGGAATGACTGGTCACTATGACACACACTGACCACCAGGGGACAGACGCTCAATGCAGGAGCTGCCCCCTGGTGGTCAGTATGCTCCCAGAGGGGGAGCTCTGCTCAGCCATAAGCCAGGCTGACAGCTGCCAGCACAGTGGTGGTGGCAGGAGCCTCTCCCGCCTCCTCAGCAGCGCTAAGGATGTCCGACTGCAGCTAGACCCGCTCCCCGCTGGCACGTAGACATCCCCCGAGGGCTCCCGGGCTTCCAGAGGGATGTCTGACTGCCAGCTTAGGTCCGATCCCCCCGGGGAGCGGGCCTAAGCCAGCAGGTGGACATCCCCAGAGGGGTCCCAGACTTCGAGAGGGCACAGGCTGGGCTGAGGGACCCCGCGAGTGCACAAATTTTTGTGCATGGGCCTCTAGTGTCATATATAATATCAAAACTATTAGGCACTAAGTGCTAGTATCACTTGCTAATATTGCTAATATATTATCTCTTTTAAACATGAGGTAGGTACTATTTTTATGCCATAGTATGAATAGAGAAACTGAAGGTAAGGGAATTAAGGAATTTGCACAAGGTCACACAGACTTTAGAGATGTGATAGAATTAGTTGGTTTCAAAGTTCTAAAAGGCATCAGGCATAAAGGTGCTTCTGTGTCAATGAAGACAGTAGCATCTACGATGTCTGATGCTCCTTGATGTTGGTTCTTTTATTGGTTCTTTGTTATCTTCATAATCATCTGTGTGCTCTGCTATCTTAGAAAATATCAAAGTATTGAAATATAGAATATCTTAGCTGGGTTTTTTGTATCAAAAAACTTAAAAGGTATGTTTCTTCAAGGAATAAGCTACATCTGTGACGTGGGCACCTTCTTCCCTAGCAGTGCCAGACCTATATCAAACTGTTGTGCTTTTTTTTTCTTATTAAATCATAGTTAATTGAATAAAAGTTATGTTTCCACCCATTCATCCAACAGATATTTATTGAACATCTATTTTGTACTGTTCTGGTCATTGGGAATAAACAATACAAAGTCTCTGCTTTCATGTGACTTATGGAAGGAGAGACAAAAAAACCAAACAGGTAACCAAAGACATGTCTACTATGAAAAAAAAGTCAGGTAAAGA